TGATAAGTTGTGATAGGGCGGCAGTGGGATAAGAGGGTAAAGAGTAGATAGATAGACCAGGACAGAAAGAAAAGTGATAGTGAAACCGTTTTTGTTAGAATGTTTGTCGAGGGATTGACTTCACTTGTGTCTTTGACGAGTTCGTAGCTTGGCGCAGAGAATGGCAAAGCTGACTGATGATGCCGAATATGATATACCAAGTCCACTGTCTGATGCTGGGAATCATGACAACTACTAGGTTCGTTCTACCAAGTCGCCATGACAACAAGACCAATTTGCGACGAGGTCAACCCACTTCTATTAATCGCAACGAGACTGTGACCATACCAGAGGCCACAACATCTTGGTCTTCATTTTTTTCAAAGTTTTATTTGCTGTATCAATCCAATACATTACTTATTTTTCGTTTATAAGTAGGTTTTCCAGACTACTATTTCGAAATTAGGCCCAGTCGAAATTGCAGTCTACCTCAACCTTTGGAAAATTCGATGCATACGTAAGGTCTACTTAACAGATTGTTGGAAAATTTGATTGCTGGTCCCTTTATCACCGTAAATTAAATAGAATGAATACACCTCATGTTTATATTGTATTACCCTTGACTATTATTACAGATATTTTGCAGAATTCATGTTCAATTTCAAGTTAGCCCTCATTTTGAACTTTCTTTAAAGAATCAGAGCTGTTTTCAGCCTTCGTCGCATATGACGATACAGGAAATATAGTGGATTTTCCCACGATCAGATGAGTAGGCTTCTCGCAGCCATTTGCCTTGATGCCCAGAAGATATTTTTATTCAGGACTGATTGCAGCTTTAATTTGTGATCAGGAAATACATTGAAAATTGGTACCTCAATCATCATAATAGTGTCCCTGATGCTGGTACTGGCTATGATGCTGACGAAGCCTCTCGTAAATGCAACAATCTATGATGCCTGAAATTACGATCGGTTTGAAGAAAGTTATTGGCATCAGGACATGTATTTGCCTCTATGGTCGAAATGGCTGCCTGATGACGACAGCGATAGTACTGGTGATGATGATAATGATGCTGCTAATTATGATAGTAGTTGTGGTAATATAAAGTTTGGTGACAGTATTTGAGGTTGCCGATACGGAATTGTTTGTGATTTTCCTTCTATCCAATTAAATTGAGTTGTTGCTGGCTGTTTCGGGCGCAATTGGTTGTCGAGTCTATCCCTTAATCTTGTTAACTGGTTGGGTGGTGCCTAAAGGTGTCTAAGAACACTAATCACGATAGACCTCTTTGATAACATAGAGTCGACTGTTTGCGCGTAGATACCAAAACCAATGTGTTGTGGCAGTCTCTTCTCGAGGTATGCAGATGGTCTGACATCGTTTTCACAACTTGATCGTGTTGTCACTGTGATCTGTTTGCATGCGTCTTGCCCGAAGTCCGCTGTTGCTTTAATCATTACAATTCCCAACCTCGGGCCGTGGACTTGGTACATTCTTAGACGTTTCGTCGGCATCGTCCACGCTCAGGTTGACACAGTCCACGAGACATTTCTCTTTCATTTCGGGTTAAAACAGGTTGAGCTTTTGTCCATCCAATGATGGACACCATCAGAGCTGGGTCGCATTCTTGCAAAAGAATTTTTGACTCAGTTTGAATGTGAGACTTTTCCATCATTTGATGGACAAAAGAACACCCTATTTTTCATCCGAAACAGAGGACTGCGTCAACCCGAGCGAAACGGCTGCAGTGGAACGCGAATCAGCCGTAGTCGTTTGGTGAGATCAACCTTCGAACCTCTTATTCATACACTTTTCACACATCTCTACAGAAAGATTATTTCACGAGGCTAAGCTAACCACACGCATCCCTCAAATAATCGGCCCAATCAGTACCATGAACGGAGTTGAAAACCCTTTCTCGTGTTTAACTCAACAACCAGCGGCCACTTGGCAACACAGCCAATAGGGAGTGTCATTCGAAGAATATTTTAAACCTATAAACCCAACTGGCATATCTTTCATTTAGTTTGAAAAGACCGGTGGAAGGGATTCGTAGATCGGCCCCACCGGATACCGAAAGAGGGTTGCCTTGGCCCTTTGTCTGTAGAACTGTACGAGAAAGAGCTCCGCTCATCCTCCTCCATTCTGAGCTTTCGTCCGTCATGTGGCGAACATCTTCATAGCCCAAAACCATCATTCACCAACAATCACCAAAAAGATTAAACCAAAAAAAGTGGCCAACTCACTGCTTCATGCTTGTCCTACCCGCACGTAAACGAGTCCAAGTGGTGCAAGAAGGAAAGCGGATGTGATCACATCTTTTGTGTATGTAAATAAACCAGCGTATGATTCTGTACGCCTGACTCTTGTTGCCGCAGCATGGATACATGTTCGTGTTATTCTTCCCGGCTTGACGGTAGAAGGGCAGTAATAGTTTGTTGAAAATCAAAGTTTTGGCATGGCTGAATTGATATTTTTCCTCATCTTCTGGTGATCACAATTTACGCCCCACATATCCCTTTCCCCATTGTAATTGCATCGCCTGCCTATGCCACACAACATCGTATAGCTGACCGAATTCCGCGACCTCATTGGTAGAATGGTGGGTGTTGACACTCGATTCACACCCAACTCGGAAGTTGTAATCCTACAGCGTATGCAGGCTCTCTTCACCCACACGTTCCAGGTCGGAATGGGCCACAACGGCCTTATTCCCAGTTTCCCAGGCACCGGATTTTCAGAAGTCTCAAGAGCCTGGCCCCTCCCCTTCACGAACTCTGTCGAGGGACGATTAAAATCACTTCCATCAGTCGAGAAGAACTCACTAGCAGGTAATTATTTAATATTTAATCTTGTTACCATGGTTTAACAGTTCATTTTCCTTAGGACTGCTTGGCCTTTATGGCTGTCGAACTACTTTTGTTGCCCAAATGTTATTTGTTGATCCAACTATGAAAAAATATCGAAGGTATGAAGACCGAGATGGCGTGGCT